AAAGAAAGAAAGAAAGAGGAAAAGAAAGGGAGGGAGGAAGGACAGGAGGAAGGAAGATGGATGGGAGACCAGAGAGGAAGAGCCTTCTCTGAAACGTAGCAGTTTTGTTCTGTGGGTGGGTTGTTTACAAAATTCCCATCTTGTTTGTGAGTTTTAAGGACTGGGATGAAAAAATTACCACAGGTTATGGTCTATGTTCTGCGAAATATTACTTTGCAGAATATTGCCTGTTGCCACCCCAATGCCCTCCCTCAATTTTGAAAAGTAAACTGCAGATTATACTAACGTTAACAATTACAGTAGTAAGCTTTGTTTCTCTCTTTGTTTCATATATCATGAATTAAAAAATAACTGAACTTGTCCACACCAGCATTTGGAAGCATATTCTCATTCATTAATCTCATTTTTTAATCATTGAGCCAAAAGTAGCCAAATCACTCTCTCCCTTCTTCTCAGGCTGGATAGTGAGAATAAATAAGCAGGTGAGGCTGCTCTGCCACTGAGCCTCCCCACACTCCACTCGTCTTCCAGCCTTGCAGGAGAGGGACTGATGGAGAGTAAGCTTTGCTCAGACAGGTAAGTACTAAAGGATGGAAATCCCTGCATGTATGCCCGGCTCCACTTGGGGCCCTGACTTGCTAGCTCAGAAGACAATCTGCAATCTAACTCCACCTGATTTGACTCCTGCTATAAGAAACAGAAATATTCCAGACAATAAGAATTTAGGAGCAAATTAGGCTTAGCACAGGGGAGGTCATTAGTATTTCATGACACCCTGGAAGAATACCCAGATGTTAAGAATATTCTATCTTGAAGCCAAGGGTAAGAGATTCTAGGGAATAAGCAATTGATGCTATCGCCATCTCTACTGTTTATCTAAATAACCTAAATAAATAAACCACTTCCTCTTCTTTCTGTTTGTGCTTTTTCCTTCCTTTCCTTTTTTTTTTTTTTTGTTGTTGTTTTTGTTGTTGTTGTTGTTGTTGTTGTTGTTTGGTTTTGTTTTCTGGGTGTCAAAGAATATTTGATTCATTTGAAACATCTGGTGGAATGGGAAAATTTAAGCTAGGTTGTTAGCTCATAAGTCATTCTAAATACACAAAAAAGTTACATTTCTTCCCTTATTGTCCTAGTCCCTTCACACTGCTATAACAAAATGCCACAGACTGGGTGCCTTATAAACAATAGACAGCTACTTCCCACAATTATGGAGTCTGAAAGTCTGAGATCAGGGTGCCAGTAAGGTTGGGTGAAGGCTGTCTTCCAGTTTTAGGCTGTCAACTTCTTGTGTCCTCACTTAGGGAAGGCAGAAGGGAGTTCTTTCAGACCTTGTTAAAAAGGGCATTAATCCCATCATAAGGACTCCTCCTTCATGACCTAATCACCCCACCAAGGGCCCAGCTTCTAGTATCACCTTGGGCATTAGGATTTCAGCATATGATTTTGGGGCAGACACAAGCATTCAGACCATAACACTCATTTTCACTTCACAGTGCTTTTTTTTCCTAAGTTATTTACATCAAAAAATGGAATAGGGGCACCTGGGTGGCTCAGTCGGTTAAGTATCCGACTTTGGCTCAGGTCATAATCTCACAGTTCGTGAGTTTGAGCCCCACATCAGGCTCTGTGCTGACAACTCGGAACCTGGAGCCTACTTCAGATTCTGTGTCTCCCTCTCTCTCTGCCCCTGTCCTGCTCATGCTCTCTCTCTCAAAAAATAAATAAACATTAAAAACTTCTTTAAAAAATGGAATAAAGACAGGATTTTAAAACCTTCCTAGAATTAGCCAATTGAACAAATAACTGATAATTCAGTGCTTATTTAAGAAATTGATTCGTCATACTCCTTAAAAATACCCTGAAACCTTGCCACATAATAAAAAAAAAATCAATGTTTATAGGCATAATGACAATAAATATATTATTACTCAGAATGAATCAATTCTATGAATTGCATGTAGCTTTGTGGCTCCTGCCATTCCCACATGAAGAATAGTGATCAAGGAATGACAATCAAGGATGTAAAGGGAAAGGGCATTTTTAGATGATCCATGACTCAGAAATCAGTCCTCATCAATGGTGTGGACATGTGTGATTCAGTTAAGCACTCTGTACCTAGTCTATAAAATCTGCAAAATCGTAATTTCCAAACTACTAATTGCCTTTCCTAAATTTTATGACAGAAATTAGGTGCTATAGTTTGCAATTTAAGGCTTTGAAAATGTTTCTATATGTATTCCTTACAATGCCAGGCCCTACCTCATTTTCAACATTGTAAGATGGGCCTCTGTTATGAGAAGGCAAAACTGTTGAAAGAAACAGGTCAATGCATTTTCAGCCCTCTGTGTCTGTGCCGTTTTCCAGGTGACTTTGCTATTCCTCCCATCAGGATTTAGAGTTTATTTTCCCACCCCATGATTATGAGTTTGGCCATTTGCTTTTTTGGGCCAATGGAATACTAATGGATATGATGCAAGAGGAAGCTTGAAAATCTGGGCTTGCTTTGTTATGCTTCTGCCATCACAATGAGAAAGATAGGCCCAGCTAGCCCATTGTCCTAGGAGGAAGGTGAGAGTCACATGGAGCAAAACCCAGTCATCTCATTAAGCCCAGCCAAACTAGCTGTCTTACAGCTCATGCCCAGACACACAAGTGAGCCCAGTCAGGATCAGAAGTAGTCCAATTTAGCTGAATTCAAACACCAGAGAAGTAAATATATAGAGTTGTATGCCCCAATCACACAATTTTGGCACTAGCTAATGGCCACAGTTCTTAAAAATATGTGAAAGGGAAGAGGAGTAAGTTTGGCTTCTTGGAAAGTGTTAATTCTCCTAGACATTAAGAGTTATTTATTAAACCAAAAAATGTAAAGGTGAAAAAAAAAACTGTAAAGGTAACTTACCCCCAATATATAAACTACATATTCAGTGGGGCTTATTTCATAATATTATAAAAGTAATAGTGGTGAAATATAATACTGCTGAAATAGATGAAAACTTTATTTTTTTATCATAATGCTGCGTGTCTGTTTGAAGGTATACATCTGTGTGTCATGAGGAAGGCAGAGAGTAATTACCATCTGACAATGCATTACTGTCCAGGTATTCATGTGAGCATTCTGTAATACATCAAAACTATTTTTGTTTCATTAATTTATTAATTAAATTTTAGCTCAAATAATGAATATGTGCATTGTACACAGTTCTAGTGATTATACAGACAGCAAACTTACTTATTCCTTTTTTCCACAGATCCTAATAACCTATTTTGCATACTTTAAAGAAGCCCCTGTAACCAACTATGGTAGTCATCTAAACATAGTAGGATGATAAAATCAGTTAAAGTAACATAGTTAAAATAAAATTTGGTAGTAAATTGTGTAAGAAATGTCTTGATTTGTACTACAGTTTGAAAATTGGAAGAAAAAATATTATTAAAAACTTACTTTATTATATATTAGTAAAATTCTGCTTATAACTGCAACACACTAATTCTTAGAATGAAGAAGGACAGATTCAAATATTGGTTGGGATTTTTGTTTAAAATATTTCCAACAAAATTATGAGATGCTAAATACAATGTGGTATCCTGAATTGGATCCTGGAACAGAAAAAAAATTGGAAAAATTGGTGAAATCTGAAAAGCTGGACTTTAGTTAAAAGTAATGTGTAAGTGTCAATTTCTTAGTTTTGACGAATGTATCTTGGTAAGTTAAGAACTGACAAGTAAGGGGAAACTGGTAAGAGGTAGAGATAAGACCTCTGTATTATAGTTGCAATTGTTCTATAAATCTAACATATTCCAAAATTAAAAATGTACTTCAAAATTGTTGGATGGCATGACATAACCACAAAGAGATTCATTTGTGCAGAAATATGTGAAGACTGTACCAATTTTCCCAAGGGCCTCTCTTAGTCCCTTGAGACAAATCTCTTTTAAAGCACCTATCCTATCATAATCCTTGTAGATTCTCTCCTCTTTAATGATAACTAGTCTAACTCTGCCAGTCCTCATTTGTCCATGACTTTCCATTTTTTCCATCACTTTGCTCAACTAAAATATAGCATCCTTTGCAATATTTGTGATTGCACTTTGCAGTCAACCTGCTTTTCCCACACTGGGCATTTGGAAGGTGATAGACTCTAGAGTAAGTGGGGAGAGAGAGATGTTTGAGGGAAGACTAATTTTACATGTTTGTTTATTTATTTTAAATAAAATATTCAGCCTCATAACTGTAAGAATACAGATAATTAATGTTGGGAAGGCAGGGAACCCTGTATCTCCACTTTTCCTACACTGTAAGTACATTAAAAAATTAAGGAAACAAAATAGCCAATGAGAATTGGCAAACAATGAAAAAAGGAAAAGTTCCCAACAGAGAAATAAACAAGGAATACAAACTGTATTTAGAGATTTTCTTCCATGGAGCATGATGTCATGACTGTCAGAAGCATGTGACCTTAATGACTAAATCCCTCTCTCCCACAGTCTGTGGCTTCACAGGAGGCAGGAATTTACATAGGCAAAAAGAAGTCACAACACAGGCCCATACCCAATTATAACGTGGTTCCCCAAACATGCTTATGTTAATTTTTTTCAGATTGTCACAAAAGATTAGACCATTAAAAATGCTAATTCTCAGGGCGCCTGGGTGGCGCAGTCGGTTAAGCGTCCGACTTCAGCCAGGTCACGATCTCGCGGTCTGTGAGTTCGAGCCCCGAGTCAGGCTCTGGGCTGATGGCTCAGAGCCTGGAGCCTGTTTCCGATTCTGTGTCTCCCTCTCTCTCTGCCCCTCCCCCGTTCATGCTCTGTCTCTCTCTGTCCCAAAAATAAATAAACGTTGAAAAAAAAATTTTTTTTAAAAAAAATGCTAATTCTCACAGAATTTGAGTCCAGGAAAATTTGTCTTTGGACCCCAACTTGAGACACATTGCTTTAAGAGTTTAGTGGCGGGGGGGGGGGGCTGACTGGCTGGCTTAGTCCGTAGAGCATGCAACTCTTGATCTCAGGGTCATGAGTTCAAGCCCCATATTGGGCATAAAGTTTAGTTAAAAAAAAAAAAAGTTAGTAGACAAAACTCAGTGTGGTATAATGGTACAAAGCATAACTATAAAGTTAGAATTCCAGGTGGTAACCTTAGCACAGAACTTCTGGCTGTGTGAACTTCTACAAGTTACTTTTCCTCTCTGTGCTTTAGTTCCCTCACCTGTAAAAGGAGATGATAATTGTAACATCCTCATAATTGGTTTGCAGGATTAGATGAGATAATCTATAAAAAGAAGGTAAAATTGCACCTGGCACTTGGTTCTTCCTACTCTGCCTTAGTGCTATATACACAGCCAGTCTTATGCCAAAGAGGAGGAAGCTGATTAAATTAAGTATTATAGAGCCTTTAAGATCCACTTACTTTGTTATTCTTTAAAGGTTTTACAGAGCTTCTGATAATACTATTTTTGCTTTTCTTCACACAGTGGGCAGCTCCCTTCCTATCCACACTATCCCTTTAGTTCCCAAGAGGAAGCTATGTTATATGCAGATAAAAGTACCAATTCATTTCTGGCTCAATTCAATCATAA